CTGCACCCAGAGTGAGTAGGAGGATAATGCCAATTACAGGATGCTCTGGCTAAACTGTAGAAAAATTGGCTGTTTAAAAACTAGGTACAGCCCTCTTTTCTGAACAGCATCTTCTCATCTTCTTCTGCAATTTTTACGAGAGTCATTTTATTAATGAGAGTGGTTTCTCTAGTCAGATAGAGACGTAAGTCACTTAGGATCACAGAACTCTGTAATTCTTTGGATCCCAGCCACAGTCTTAAAACAAAACCTACCAGTTATTTAATCAAACACCTTGTACGAAAAGAAAAAGGATGTTGTCACCCCATAGCAGTTTTCACTAGCTATGGTTTTGCTTTTTTTTTTTTTCATCACTAAAGTAAAGAAAAACCAACCAACCTCAAACATGGAAATTCTCTCTTTTGTTTTCTCCTTACATCCAGAGTTTTGCAAGAAACTCTCTGAAAGGAAGTTCTACTATTGCTTATGTAAATGTGGAAACTGTTTTGCCAAAGAGACTTGGACCACTGAAATTGCACTGTACAAAACTCTGTCTCTAGCTAACTCATTTCACTTATGCAAACAACAAGCATAAACTGGTCTTTGGAGACCCTTGGCAAGACAACAGTGAAGTCCCAGTTTTAAAGGCTTTTAAATACAATGAAATGTTTTCTCCCCACTAATGTCAACAGTTTCTTACTATAACTTAACTGAAGTTTATAGACTTGCATTTGAGAAATTAATTGGTGTGTTTGCTGCAAGAGAGTGCTATTACCCTAAGTTGGCAGGCATGGGAAATGCAAGAGCAGCTCTTGTTAAAAAGAAATGATTACATAGCACAATCACAATGTTTCAAAGAAGGAGAAAATGCAATTTTCGGCACCATGCCCAGACTGAATCATGTTATTACCAGACAGACAGAACCTTTATTTTGGTCACTAACCAATAAAAATACATTCAGTAAAACAAACAAAGCAAAGTTAACCTCTAACATCAATGGCTACTGGCAACCATTTGTAGGTGAAGCTTACACATAATGAAGCAACATTTTGCTACTTTTAGAGAGAGAGATTTATCTTGGTTACCTAACAAACAATGCAAATAAAAATTATTGGAGTTCCTGGGAAATTCAGATAAAAAAGGGGTAATCAGCTGGTGGCGAATGTCCCTGTAGACCTGGCAGTACAAAAGAACATGGGATGTCTACAACACCCGTGTCACAGGGGCAGTGTTGAGTTTCATAAGGGGTTTTCCTATATTTCCCTTCCGAAACAGCTGTGGGGAGAACGTTAAATCAAACTAAAGTTAAAGCTCTCCTGACTTTGGGAACTATGATGTGTTATAAATATGAAGTTGGTATAGGAGCTAATATCTGGTTATTTACAAATATGTTGTGAGAAAAAGCAGCAATTTCTGTTTGGCCTTCTATGTCTAAGATCCTTTGCTTTAATATTGATCTCGCTTGATCTAGCCCTAAAGTTAAGATGGTATCACTGGAAAAGCTACAGTGGCTCAGCTTCTTTGGACAGCTGTTTCCCAAGATGATTTGAAGTTGTCTGCCAATATTAGATGGGTCAGTCCACCAGGATTGTTGTGTAGTTTTAGCCAGTAGGAAAAGATATTTATCCAGAGATGGGATTCAGGTTTACTGACTCCTGCTTCCTGTCAAAGTACTGCATTTGGGACGCAGCAGGTAACCTGAAAGATGCTTCTCAAAAATTTTGTTTGAATTCTTTCTGAGGTCATCATGCTGTTAGGTGGTCCTAACTGAGCCCCATATAGCAGTTGGGTTTGGGCTTTAGCTGCAAACAACTTAACTGCAGCAGGGATAAACTGTGCTCCTCTGGCAAAATAATAAGTTTGAATGGCTGAAGCAGATCTCTGTGCATTGCGAGATAGATAATCCAGGTGGGCATTTCTGCTTCCTGAAGCTTGAAAAAACTATCCTTATATATTTAAAAATCTTAACCTGCTCAATGGACTGCCCACCTAAGTTCCAGCTTCCCTGTTTTGGGCATTTGGAGAAAGTGAGAATCTTGGTCTTGGAATAATTTATTATTAATTCCTATTAAATCAATACAATAATCCATAAGTGATCCCAAGGCTCTTTTAAGGCTAGTGGAAGTCAATGACAGAATTTCTGCGTCATCAGCATACAGTAGTAAATTGATATGTCCGTGGGCTAATTTGGGAGGATGTAAAATAGAGTTATGTAAGTGAAGAACCAATGAGTTTATATAATAATTAAATAAAACTGGAGCCAATACACATCCCTGTCTAACTCCTCTCCTTACTAGTATTTCCTTAGTGACATGTCCTTGGTTACTGCACCTGGCCTTGAATCTTGCGTTCTCATGAATTTTAATGAGCAGCAGAAGCAGATGTTTGTCTATTGTGGTGTATTTAAATTTTCACCACAGTTTAGAACTAGATACTGTGTCGAAAGCAGACCTAAAGTTAATAAATGCTGCATGAAGGGATTGTCCAGATTTGTAGGTGTACTTTTCTACTAGGTGTTGCAGCACCATAGCATGGTCTAACATTGATTAACCTGCTCTAAACCCAGCCTGTTCATCCATCAGAATGCCTTTAGATTCAAGCCAGTCAATTAATTTATCCTGTAGATGTTTAGCACACATTTTGCTGATCTGACTTAACAAACTAATTGGGCTGAAATTAGCCGGATCGTCTCTTTTGCCCTTCTTATATATTGTCATTATAATAGCCAAACCCCAGTCTTGGTATCATGGCTGAACGATCTATTGCTTTGAAAAGTGAAGCTAACACTGGAGTCCACCATTCCAAATTATTTTTCATTACTTCATATGTAATAAGATATGAGCTGGGGTTTTTCCCTGGTTTGAACTGTTTAATTATATTTCTGATTTCTGAACATGAGACCAGGGGCCAATGGAGTAGAGAGGTCACATCCAGCTCCAAATCTGCCAGGGAATTTTTCTCCGCTTGAGCATATAGGGTAGCAAAATAGTCTTCCCAAAAACTGGCTGGTATATGCAATGAAGGGCTATAAATATTATTTGAGGAAGATGGGGCTACCAACCTCCAGAAGATGGCAGGGTTTTTCGCACTGGCATCATTATTACTGTATTTTTTTAGAAAGAGGCAACTGTCATATTGTTCATAAAGCAAGCAAGCTAGTGCTATGTAGTAAAATGTACCTCCAAAAATTATAACAATTCATTGTTTGCTGTCTACACTGCTTTTCTCATAACTATAATGGTTCCAGAGTTTTGTTACAAAGGAGAAGCAAAAATATACCAATCCTTACAGCGTCAATCTTCACTGGCCTTAACATTTTCTGCAGTGTTTGCTCTCTATGACAGTATATAGTGACCATGATCTAAAGCAGTGTTTCTCAACCTTGTCAACTTTCAGATGGGTGGACTTCAACTCCCAGAATTCTTGCTGGCTAGGGAATTCTGGGAGTTGAAGTCCACCCATCTGAAAGTTGACAAGGTTGAGAAACACTGATCTAAAGTCTTGGAACTTAGCTAATTCTATTCCATACTATTCGGAAGTATTTGATGTGAAATTGTGCTAATTTTCCTCAAATTAGTGATTTGGAAATAGCTATTTCCTGGAATAAGTAAAATAATAGTGCAAAATCTGCTCTGAGAGCAGATGTATCTATTTCTTATGAAAATCCCTCTTCTGGCATCACACCAGGAACCACGAACCAGAGGCCTTCCAAATATGTTAAACTACATGTTATAGCTTAGCTACTTCTAGATGGTTATAGGTTCTCCATCTGCTAACAATAGGACTTAAGGTTCTTAATACGCAACTCCAAGCTATTTACATAGAAACAACCCTACAAATGGCAATTCAGATCATGCTCAGATCTGTCCTCCTGCTGTTTTTGAAGAAGTGCAGATAGTTAACCACCCAAAGCTCAATGCTTAAAATTGACTTTATTCCATTTTTGCTTTACACCCCGTGCCCTGAGTAAGCATATTATGTGTACAAATGTATTATGTACATTATTATACAAACGTTTACAAATGAGAATACTAAACTATTACTGGCAACTGCCTCAATAAAACACAATCTATCAATCAGGAAGATGTAGAAATGCCTTGGGTTTTTTTGACTGCTGAGGGCCCAAATTCCTTAACTTAAAAATTTTGACAGGATAAAAGAGTTTTTTGGGTTATCATTGTTCTTCACTCACTCTTTGATAATGGTGTTTTTTCACTATGGGGAAGAAACCTGTAGTCTGGAAGTAAACATTAAACAACTAATGTCGACCATCTTGTAGGTCTCCAGGATAATGCCCTGATAAAATGCACGGGCATGATTTGTTGATCAGTATTGCTACTGTGAATGCGAATGCACACACAAATTAACATTCCCTACTTAAGAACACTGAAATCACTCAAACCAAATGAAGATATACACTAAGTCTTTAGCTCACTATTTCCTCTACTATAAATGGATGCCTGGATAACCATCTTATTAGGGTCATTTATGGTTTATTAGATTGTTGAAAGACGCTGTATGTATCTGTCCATAACTTTCTAAGTACAGACCTGTGGCATTAGAAAGATGAACACACTGAGATCCAGGTTTCTTAAGGGCTTTCTAGAAGTTTGCTTGTTTCCAAATATCAACCCCCTCCCCCCCAAAAAAATTACTGAAAGGATGGTTTTTAGCCAGACACCTTCCCTTCTCAAAGTAAAATCAGATTCAGTGTAATTCCTGCTCTGAGACAGGACATTATAGCCTATGAGTTCTTCAAGTACTTTTCCTTATATTCAGGTGAAACTTCTCAGGAGATTATGTAATTGTACCTAGGCTATTTGTTCTGTTGCTAAGTGGTCCTTTAGTATAAGAGACTCCTTCAGATCTTTAGCTTATACTTCTTAAGTGTCTGTGAACAACCACACCAGCACACTAAACTTTTATCAACCTAATACCAAAATACTAAAATGATGACAGAAAAAGAAAAAAAAACAACAACAGACCATTCATGAGCAGGAACTAGAGTATAACAGGGACGTTCTCAGAACTGAGAAGTCCAATGCAGACACCTGATTGGACAAATATATTTGACTTGGGCCTGATCCATGCAGACCATGTGTCAAGCCACTTCAAGGCTACCCCAGATAATTTATTTTGATTCCCCCACCTTATTATTCTCCCTCCCCCCATCTTGTTGGCAATATCACTAAACTCTTATACAGTTTGGAAACAAGCATGAAAAACTTGAATTTGAATAGCTGGGGTAAAATAATCACTGGATTTGCATGGGGAGAACAGCCTAGTAAATGGAATGGTCTCAAGATGCTTTTGCTTCATGTGATTTACTATCCTATTGGCTAGTTGAATGAGATGCTCCTTATAGTGAAGATATGATTTGCTTACATAATGTGAATTTGCTTACATAAAGTGAAGATATGATTTGCTTACATAATGCCCCCAACTGGATCTTTTATGAAAGCGCAAACAAGGCCCCCAGTATCTGTATGGTTACAATATAAAATACTTTTAGAAATAATGAAAAATAAAACAAAGCAAAAATGTTTAGTGGCAGAGGTAGGGAGAAAGGTTAAAATATGTAGCAGTAAAAACTCTAGGGTAAGTTCTATGTGTCTACAACACAGAAGACCATTTGGCAATTACAATAAAAGGGTTTTTTTATGATTTTTTTTTTTTTTT